CACACGCGCCGTAGAGCGCACTTTTGGCGTGCTTAAGGGCCGTTGGATGTGTTTGGATCAGATACGGCCGGTGGCAAACTACTTTATACCCCTGAGAAGGTGTGCAAGATCATCCTGGCATGCTGTGTCCTCCACAATCTTACAATGACCCATGGCATTCCTGTAAGACCCGGCGCCATCGCTTCTAACAAACTGTGAAATTTACTACTTCTCTCCTCGCGTAACCGCTTCCTTCATTCATGAATCAACTCTAGGCAAGCGGTTTCCTTATATGGAGAAATGGGGGCGTGGTAGTATGCTGATTGCAGATCGTGGACACGCGCCTGTCAATTTAGAATGATTCTGATTTACTATCATACGCACGGTGGTGAGAACAAAATTGGCCGGTACGCACGTGTCATGAATCCGACGGTGATTTTGCGCAAGTACTTATTTTTTGCGGAGAGTAAGAACATTTCTGCGCAGATATTAGTGAATGAGGCTCAACATTAGCTATTCAAGGCCAACTTCATGAAAACAACAACCTTATGGCTAGCTCCTTGCATGTGAGATTTAGGGCTGACCCCAAAAAATTGAAGTTTTGTTCGATGGCACGGGATTAGATTGTGAAAAAAAAAAAAAGATCAAATATTCTGCCTCTTTTTTCTCCAGTTTTTTGGGGGGACCTTGAACGCAACACAAATCATGTTGTCCATTTACGGTTGTTTTTTCCCCTTTAGCCATATGTAAACTCCAAGAACAAGAAGCAATGTCTGTTAGGCATATAAGATTTCATGTTCCAGTTCCAGTTTGTGTTTTTAACACAGACGACTAAATTCTTTCAACAATGTGACTCAAAATAATGATAAAATAGATTTTATTGATGTAAGATAATATGCTGATGGTGACATTTTCCACTGGTCCACTGCGCTCTGAGTCTGGTGTCAGTGACACATGCTGCTCTGAGTCGCGCATTTGTCTGCTTGCGCTGCAGTGCGCGCCGAAGGTTTTAAATTTTAGTGTTAAATCAAAAGTTAAACACTACTTATCAGCAACCAGAAGTGCTTTTTTGTTTGTGAATATTTTTATCTTAATTCTAGGGTTGCAAGAAACTACCCTTTCGCCATAATTTTTAAGTTATTAATTTTTTGGACTTTTTTTTCGCTCAGGTTCAGGTTATCATAACACTACTTTAAGACATTCTTCCTTTAAGGCAGGCAGGCTCAGGTGTGTTGCATGTGCCAAGCAGAGAAGACTGGAGCTTTTTTTTTGACAACTCAGAAGGTGTGGTTCTCATTTCATTTCCAGAGACTCTGCCATTGCAATTTTAAAAACTCATCAGATCTACATGAAGCACACAGGGGTCCTTTTTTGGAGTGAAAATGTCAAATTTTGCTGAAGGGGGGAAAGTTCTGAAACCTGTGTATGTACACAATTTGTTTCATCAAGGCTAAGTTGTGCAAGAATTATGTGCACTGTTAACATTTCTTCAATTTTTTCCATTCATTGAACAGTTATTTTTTACACTGTCCATTCCCAACCTGTCCCATTATTTACACAGACTAGTTTCCATCCATGTGTGCTTCACACACACCTTCTGTCGGCAGCAAGGAAGAACTACACTATCAGTACAGTTTCAAGGTGGACACCTGAGATTAATGTCACCAATTTAGTATCTGACCAAATGTCTCCCCCTCTGTTCCTGAGCTGTGGTGTTGAATAATGGCCAGAAAACCTTATGATGTCACAGTGAGGTTGAGCTTTGACCTTTTGGATATAAAATCTCATCATGTCATCATTTTATCCTGTCAGACATTTGTGTGAAAATTTGTCATTATTAGTGTATGAATTCTAGAGTAATGGCCAAAAACGTGTTTTGTGAGGTCACAGTGACCTTGACCTTTGTCAACTATTCAAATCAGTTTATTGTTGAGTCCAAGTGAGCGTTTTTGCCAAATTTATAGAAATGCCCTCAAGGTTTTCTTGAGATATTGCGTTCATGAGAATGAGACGGACAGGGTCTTCGTGACCTTGACCTTTGACCACCAAAATCTAATGAGGTTATTGTTAGCCCTTTGTAAACAGGAACTGTGCAAATTTGCAGGAAAGCCCAATCAGTCTTCTTTCAGCATTGGCAGTATAAAAACAAAATCGCGGAGTTCGGGGCAATGGGGGGCGTGAGCAAGTAACAAAATGTGTAGCACAGGATGTGATGTAAACAATGACGTCGGAGGGAAGCCGCGGCTGGTCAGTCCTTTGGTGATTCTCTCATAAGTCGGCCCATTCTTCACCGTCCCCGTCATCTGACGGTTTATGGCCTCTTCGTTTGTGAGGACAAGGAGGGCGCGCAATTCCTTGTCTCCCCAGTTGCTCATCTTTACAGTGTCTGTCCAGTTTGCGCTTCCCTCTTGCTACTAGCTGCTCGCTAATTCCTGCTATCAGCTGTTTCCTGTTTATCAACCACTAGTGGGTCGCACGTGCGGCGTCATCAACAGCTCCTCCCACAAGTCTTCAACAGCCCCTCCCGTAGCGGAAGGCCGCCTCTGTCTTTTTAAACTAAAAGGGTTCCACCAATATGTCTACCCTACGAGGCGGAAAATTGGGCACCTCAGATCAACTCGCCAATCCGGCTCTGTGTGTCTAAACACTCGCAGCTTGCCGGCAAAACAGCCCAACATTCACCAAAAATCTGGCAGTGTAAAAGGGGCTGTTGAGTCCACGTGGGCGTTTGTGTCAAATTTCACACAAGGGGTTCTTGAGATATCGTGGTCAGGAGAAGGGGACGGACAGTCGTAAAATCCAAAAACATGCCTCCAACCATAGCTATCGCCATCGCAGAGGCATAAAAACATGTTTAAATGTGAATACTATGTTTGTTTTGCTTCACAAGTAACATGGGGTTGATAAAAATCTACCTAGTAATAAAATAATATTCATATTAAGGCTACAACTACTATTGAATTAATCTTTTACTTTCTGATTAATTTGTCTTTTACTCTGTTGAATGTATTAAAGAATAAGAAGTGTCCAAATTCAGAATCTAAAATGATTAAACTCCTTATTTTGTCTGATGAAGAGTCCAAAAGCTTAGGCTGGTTACACTGATAGGAGGCAAAGAAAAGTGGCAAGTCTTTATATTTAAGAGGCTGTTAACAATAAATGTTTGGTAGTTTTACTTTTTCAATGACTGAAATGATCAATTATCAAAGTAGCTATCATATGAATTACCTGTCAATTCACTAACCAATCAATCTGGTCTATTACAAACATCAAAAACTAGCACGCAGCATGTCATTTTGAACAAGAAACTTGATCTAAGCTATGCTGATCAGCTGCCTGAGGACGTTTCTGACAGGAGCACGCCTCCATACAGTCCCAGCGCCTCTTCCTACCTGGTTTCTGAATGACAGAGTTACAGGCGTTGGCAATCTCCTCTCGCTTGGCTTCATCTGGGTACTGGTTCTCCATGAAGAAGCTGTAAGAGACAAACATCCACAGTATTGGAAACAGTTAAATCATGTTGCATCATAGCCTGCACATTTATTAGAAGATGGCACCAGTCTGAGCAGTGCTCTGTACGCCCTCATTTTACACCTCATCTACTTTTAGTCTTTGTATTGAACCACAAGAGAGAAAAGGACAATATTTATACAGTGGAAGAGCTACAGGAGAGGTCGTCACTGCAAAGGAACAGATTAATGGATGCATTAAGTAGATTAATTTCTGCTATTCAAGCACTGCATCTTTAAATCTCTTCCCTGGCCTGGAAATATGACTGGTGAAAACAGTAACTTATATATTCAGGTAAAGATCAGAGTAACCTTCCTTTTCCTCGTCAAATTATCCTCACTCATGTCTCATGTCTTTCTATCCCTCCAAGGCTGAAAAAGAATCATCATCTCACATTACAAAACACACAGGGATCAATTTCTTCCAGCCCTCTGTTCCTCTCACCCTCTGAGTTGCCCTATCCTGTCCACTCTGTCTCAGACACACACACTCAGACACACACACCACATCATCTTCACCTCTACTGTATCGTCCTTGGGTCTAAACTAGCTCATAAAGATCAGCACTGCGGTAGAATTGCGTAATCCGGGGCCACTGCTGGTGAGTGTTGTCTGAGGGCCTGCGTGGTCTTATTACTGTGAGTGCCCAGACTGCACCCTATACTTACAGCAACCATGTAATAGACAAATCAATTGCACACAGCGGGTAGGACTGTAGAGGAATGCCTACTCCTCTTTCTCTGCATCTTTCTGGGTTACTGAGAAGACTGGCTGGGACAAATATGTTACAGAGATGCAGAGACACAACACTTCTAATAAACTGGAATTACTGCCCCGTGGCTGTACGCCTCCGCGAACCAGTCAAGCTGCAGTTACAGTTCACATCCAAGTCCAAGTAAAATGTTATCACTTCATCATTTTATTCAATTAGACATGTGTGTAAAATTTTGTCATAACTTAAATCATGTTCTTCTTCTCCCTCTCAGCATTGTTTCTCTTCTTTTGGATTATTTCAATTTTGTTTTTTTGGTTTGGTTTGTTTTGTTGTTCTTGTTCTCTGTGATGCGTCTTTGAGGATCCAGAAAAGCGCTGTATTAATCCAGTGTATTATTATTACTGTTATCAGCAGTAGCAGTAGTATTAAAATCTAATCAGTTCACTCCCGACTCTAAGTGGACGTTTGTGCCAAATTAAAGGGAATTCCCTAAAGGCCTTCTTAAGGTGTTGCGTCCACTAGAATGAGACGGATTAAGTCACAGTGACCTTTGATCTTTAACCACCAAAATCCAATCAGTTAATTGTTGAGTCCAGCTGGATGTTTGAGCCAAATTTGAAGAAATACCCTAAAGGCATTCTTGAGATATCACGTTCACGAGAATGGGACAGAAGGATGGACAGACGGACAATACAAAAACATAATGCCTCCAGCCTCAACGGAGGCAACGCCCGAGCCCAAAGGGACCCGTCAGGACCCGACAGGTCAGGCCTGGCTTGAACAAACATTTACAAATAATGTTCAGGTCAGTTCAGCCCAAAAACTACAGACCTACTGTGTTTGCTGGGAACCTTCTTGTTCAGTGCTGAGCTACTTACGCATAGCCCGTAAAAATTCATATAGGTTATTGTTAGCTTGCTAATGATGGAGGACGTCAAACAAAACGCCATCACCTAACATTACTCCACACTCTGTGTCCTTGCTCCAGACATTCTGGCCTTTTCAGTTGCAGCAGCAGCAAACATAACTTAAGCATTGCTGGACAAAACAAAAAACAGAGGAGGCAGCGCTGAAGCCATCCATGGTGGATGCTAACACTTTCCTCCATAGCCCTTTTTAAACAGGAATTGTGCAAATTTGCAGGAAAGCCCAATCAGTCTTTTTTCAGCATTGGCAGTATAAAAACAAAATCGGGGAGTGCAGCAAAATGCCGCCTGCCTACTTTTGTTTATACAGAATGTGCCTTTTTTGGGGCAATGGGGGGCGTGAGCAAGTAACAAAACGTGTAGCTCAGGATGTGACGTAAACAGTGACGTGGGAGGGAAGCCGCGGCTGGTCAGTCCTTCGGCGATTCTCTCGTAAGCCGGCCCGTTCTTCACCGTCCCCGTCATCTGACGGTTAATGGCCTCTTCGTTTGCGAGGACAAGGAGGGCGCGCAATTCCTTGTTTCCCCAGTTGCTCATCTTTACAGTGTCTGTCAGGTTTGTGTTTCCCTCTTGCTACTAGCTGCTCGCTAATTCCTGCTATCAGCTGTTTCCTGTTTATGCGGCGTCATCAACAGCTCCTCCCACAAGTCTTCAACAGCCCCTCCCGTTGCGGATTGCCGCCTCGGTCTGTTTAAACTAAAAGGGTTCCACCAATATGTCTACCCTACGAGGCGGAAAATTGGGCACCTCGGATCAACTCGCCAATCCACCTCTGTGTGTCTAAACGCTCGCAGCTTGCTGGCAAAACGGCCCAACATTCGCCGAAAATCTGGCGGATTGTGTAAATAGTTCGTTTAACAGCGGTTAAAATTCAAGAAGAGTTCATGTAGATGAAGACTTGACATACTCCAAAATTAAGACTCAAAACATGACATTACGTAATGTGTGCATGGGTGCGCATGTGGGAGAGACACGTGTGCCTTCTGACGGTCCTTTACAAGGTGCCACGTGTGTACTCTCTGTATACAAGCAAGCTGTAACCATAGTAACAACAATAGCTTGACAGTGACAAACTCAGTGCTTCAGTAACGTTACATTAAGTGCATCAGGTTTGGGTCAAGGGGCGGCACGGTGGTGTGGTGGTTAGCACTGTCGCCTCACAGCAAGAGGGTTGCCGGTTCGATCCCGGGTGTGGGAGCCCTTCTGTGCGGAGTTTGCATGTTCTCCCCCTGTCAGCGTGGGTTCTCTCCGGGCACTCCGGCTTCCTAGGTGTGAATGTGAGCGTGAATGGTTGTTTGTCTCTATGTGTCAGCCCTGCGATAGTCTGGCGACCTGTCCAGGGTGAACCCTGCCTCTCACCCGATGTCAGCTGGGACCCTCAAGAGGATGAAGCGGTTAGAAGATGAATGAAGATGAAGGTTCGGGTCAGGCTCAGTTACTACTCTCTCAGGCTCGGGCCAGGTTCTGACATAAACATGCAGCCCGAGCAGCACTTTACTCCGCACTATTAGCGAGACAGATCAGAGCCAGGGAAGGTTATTAAAACTGAAATGACCTCAAGCGATGCAGCATTCCTAACATATGTAAGGAGCAATCCATGCCTTGATGTTTTAAGCAGTGCTGACGTGTTCAAACTCATCTGAAGCATCACACACGCAGGAGTTTTCTGCAGAACTTTGTTGCTCCTCATCATCGTTTTTGTAGTTTAAAACAGAACAAAAACTCTTGGGAGCTCGCTTTTAACATAAACACTGAAATGTAAACTCGTGCAAATATTATGTTGTCAAGGCAATTTGATCCCAACATGGCCAATGAAAACCAGCTGTTTTAGAGTTGAAACAATCAGTTGATTAAAAGGAAAATCAACCAGCTTCATAATTGATGGATCAATGGACAAAGTTTTCAAGGTATGGTGCCAAACATTCACTGATTCAAACTTTGCAACTGTGATGATTTGCTGCTTTTCTTTATTTTAGTGTTTGTCAGCTGAATATCTTTGGGTTTCAGATGCACACGTTGGCCTTGTGACATTAGAAATTTGTGATTTTATAATTTTTTTTGACGTTTCTTAGACCAAAAGATTTATTGATTTATTGATTGATTAAAAAAAATGGGCATCAGATTAATCAATAATGAAAATAACTGTTACTTAAAGTCCAAGTTCAGTTTAAATACAGTAAATTGGCTTTTCTACACTGAGGTTTCCATCATTGGTGGTGCTAGAATGAAGGAAGTCAGTTTAATTGGGGTGCAAATCTTGAGTTTCTCCTTTACAGTCATGTTCACATTTTCCAACAGGACATGAATGCAGCATATACAGTACTTGTCTCCTTTTAGAGAATAAGTCCAAAATAGAGAGCCAAAGTCATGACGTCATGGGCTAACCTCTGCTACACTGGTGTTTGTAGCTCAATGACATCTTTCATTCAGCATTTTCTTCTGGAGTTTTCACTCTGGCTCTGTATGCAGCACAAAGACTCGCTCACCTCTCCATGATTGACTGACACTCCTTCCTCCAGGTGAACCGGCTTCCTCTGCGCAGCCTCAGAGGTCCGCCCACCATCCCTGCTCTGTCGCCTGCCATGATCCCTGTCCTCCAATCAGGTTCCTCCTTCACCAGAGACCGCATTGACAAGGTGGCCCCTGAGACAGAGAGTGAATAAAAAAACAATCAAACTGTTGAGATTCATTAAGACAAAGACAGTGACTATGTTTAGACTGCAGCTGCCTGTTGCACCACATGAATTGAACATCACTCAAAACAAACATCTGTAATATGTCAGTTTGTATGTGTCTGTAACATCAGGTAGTATAAAATAAACACACCTATAACAGACAGTTAAATAAAAAAGAGAAGGTAACGTGCTATTGTTTTAACTAGCTATCATCATCATTTCACAGTCATCGCTTCTGTTACTTTGATGTCAGGGAGGGTTGTATCACACAAAAAATGGACATTAATATAGATAATAAACTTTAAACAACCTCTATGTGCTGAAAAACAACAGAAGCAACCACATGTTGCCAGCAGTTATTCCCATCTCCAGTGAATGCAGCATAAATTACACTGTTTATCATCATCATCATCATCATCATCATCACATCAATCATCATGTCTATTTCAAGTAATTGTAATTTGTACTACACACAGTGTTCACGTCTGCTTCATCATTAATGTAAATGGCTGTAGTCTGTCACAGGAAATGTGCTCCTAGCATAAATATCAAAGTAAAGGTTATTTTGACTGTTCAAACATCACCATGGTAACAAGGTCTGACTGACACCTGCCTGGGAGGTAGAAATTTTAAGTCATATCTTGACTCTATGATGTAGCTCACCTGTATCCGAGTATAGAACCTTTTCATATCACATAGGAAGCAGTTTATTAGCTGCTTCACAGTCATACAGTGTGGAATGATGGAAAACAACAGGGAGGATATGGTCTGATATGATATATAATTATTATTATATTACATTTTTTCATTACTTCCCAGCACTATGTAATAGCCCCTAATGATATAGTTCATTAAATTAAAGCAACTGGACCCTGGGTAGTGTCAAAAAATGGATGGATGGTTAGGCAATAATAGACGATGAATTCATTAAGGCTCATTTCAGTTAAATCAACATTTGCTCATTATGAGACGATGAGCTTCAAAGCTACTGTAGCGACCAGCTGTGACAGTGTTTGCTACAGACTTTTAATACCTTGTGGTTATGTCACGAGAACTAGTACTTTGATACCTAACTGATGCTAAAATTCTAAAAAAACATGACTGTACTCGTCTTTCTCCATTACTGTAGGTACTGAAGACGCACTTTTTCTGGACCTGACAGAGCAACGTATATACCTAAGAGTGTTCTAGTCTGCACTTAAATACACAAAGAAGAATTTAACACTTGGCATGCATGTTTTTTTTTCTTTGCAATGGGAGTGCGTTTTTTTTTACAGTATGCTACAAATGACAGCATGATGAGGCGCTGAGTGTCTATTCACAGAGGGTTGAAAAATGTTGCACTAATCACTGTCGCTTCTTCACCAGCCGTCGAATCACAGTGGAGGAGGGGCGGGATAAACAGCCTACTTTAAAGACTAGAGTCACATTTCATATGTACAAGTGCTGAACAACAGAGGAGAAAATATTTACGTTTCCTCTCCCACAAAATTGCGGAGATTACTTTGTGTTTAAAGTTGATCATCAAGAATTTATAATAAAACATAAATGTTTTTAATGAAGGAGAATATGTTTAAATACAAGGGATTTATTGTTTTGTTTTTATTTTTTACTGTGGTATCAAATTGTGTGTCTAGAATCGTGAAAATTCACTGGTACTGGTATCAACTACTAAATCTGTGGTATTCTTACATGCCTATACCTTCTAAGGTTTTTTGTGCCAACACCTTGTTCTATAACGAGTTTTTTAATAAGATATAGCGCAACTCCCACATGACATTCAAACTCAGCCACATCTGAACTCACACTCAGCTGGTGCCACAGGCTGCTACTACGCCATGGTCAAGAGGATTTTAACAATAAGGAGCTGCTTCATTTTTAGTGTTATGGTTCAATCCTCTAGTTTATCTCTGTCATTTGATACGGTTGAAATGTATCCCAAGCTGACACAGACGCTGTGGGGTAAATGACATGCGGGTCAGCTGATGTGCGGGTGTCTCCTGTGGCGAGCTGCTGAGGCCGGGGCGGGGCTGGGAGGGCACGGTTACCTGGCTGGGCCTGGGCGGCCGCGGCAGCAGCAGTGTACCACGGCAGCAAGTGCATCAGCAGCTCTCTCTGCCTGCTCCACACTGGGTTGGGGTTGAGGTTGGTGTTGGGGTTGGGGAGGCTGCCGCTTGCCCCTGCTACCGTCCCGTCTCTGTCCCCTCCCCTGGCCCTGGGCATGGGGCTCACGCTGTGCTGGCTTTCACTCCACCTCAGCCCTTCAGTCGGGACAAAACCAACGGTCAGGCAGGCCACAGCCAGGGATTAGATTATGGACACCAGTTTAGGCTAATGTCACTGGAAATTGAGGGTTAATTGGGTTAACGGACACACTCCTGTAGACCTGCCTGGGAAGTTTCAGTCATATTAAATTTAAAAACAAATGCCTGCTTTATAATGTAAACGCCAATTAGGAGTCAATCTGATTAGAGTTGTGACGGGCAGGTCAATAGGAGCCAATATTGGAAGCAAAGCATTGTGGCCGCTGAGAGAATTAGTTATTGTTAGTATGACTGTTAATAACCAGTTTGTTAGGCATGTAGGAATGAAAACCAGCACCAGAGTACCTCCAGCATCAGGGCTGAGAACTACAGAGGAGCTAAGGCAAAGCTTGGGTGGGAGGGGAAATATAAAGGATTCAGATGAAGGGAGACAGCAGGGTCAGCAGATGGTCCGTCGGCAGCTCGGTTTATTCCATAGGACTGATTGTAAAAATGTGACTTTGACATATTTACACACAGTTTTACAGTGAATGCATGCTGTCTGATAAACCAATAAAAGCTCTGAGCATCGCTACTCATTTAATATGTTGTAGCTTTTAAACCATACCAATTTTAAGCATCTATATCCGTGTATCCGAGGACATGGAGAGGTCAACACCTACCCAAGCTGTTACTCTAGCCTGTACAGACAAACCGCATTCACCCACTACAGTTTCATTTCCAAACCAGAAGCCTTAATATTATTGATTAGCATCTCCTGTGACAGGACTACCTTTATCATTTGTCTTTCCTCTGAAATTATAGATTTGTCTCGTGTCCTTCCTTGACCTCACAGCCCTCGAGGACCAGGATGGAGTTAGCGGGAGGAATTAGAGGCGTGTACCATGCAGGAGGATGGATGGAGGGGGAAGGAAAGCAAGCAGTGGTTCACATTCACATAATACAGAAAATCTTATCTCTTTTTCACACACACAAGCCTCCCCTCCTACATTATCTAATCTATTATCATTAACCTGACACTCAACCTTGAGGTGCTGATCTGCACTTTCTCATAATCACTCTTCCTGTACCTAACATCCATCATCCTCGTAATGATCTATAATCCCACTCTGCTCTGTAATGGTCAGACTTTACACTGGCTCTGGATCACAGTCCCTGTATGTCCTGTGTGACCCCCGCCACCCTCAGCCTGCCCCTCGCCTCACCTGGGTTGTTCCTCTCCAGCAGGTACCAGCGGTAGAAAGCTCTGCGTTTGGAGTCGCTCATCTCCAGGCCCTGCTGCAGCAACCACTGAGAGATGTAGCTCTGGCTGATGCCTGCGCGCGGGAAGGAGAGGCATGTTATCTTAACACATTAAAGACATCGATTTACTTCATGGTGCACTGGTAGCATCTGTGCTGTTGAGATCGGCTGTGAGCCAGCTCTGAAATACTCCTGTTAAGCTAATGAAGTCGTCCCAATATCAATACCTTAATTAAGGACACGTGGTTTGGTGCAATACTTTGTGAACATGCTGCTACTTGTGAAGTTCAGCATTTATTGCCTAGAGGTGGAGTCTTGGCTTTGGACACCACAGGCCCCTCTCTACCTAGAGACAGAACCATCCTGGCTGTTGAACAGTTCTTCTTCTGTTATATTTAAAGGAATACTTCACCCACAAAATGACCATTATTATATTTGAGCCACTCACCTCGTGTTCCTAGCCTGGAAATCCAGACCCAAATCTAGAAAGATTTAGGGTCTGGCCATGAGTAATGCAAATGGCCCAACTCGAGGGGCGGCACCAAGCATGCATTTGAAAATATCACTGCAGCAATTGGATAACACTACGACCAATCAGAACAATACACGGGGTGACGTACCCAGAGCTTAGCTACCAGCGGAGCTAACTGGTAGATTAGACTCTTGCCGTATCCGGTCGGCAAAACAGCAAAAACGTCCTTCTTGCAAAGGAAAGACTCGAGCGCCGTCTTCTGTTCCTCTTTTAGAGAAAAAGCCAAGTCTAACTCGTTCATTGTAGCGGCCAAAGCCGTTTCAAACAACTGGTGTTCATCCGTAGTCATCTTGCAATGTTTACTGACTGATTCCGGACTTCGTCGTCGCAGCGCTGTCGTCATCTGTTTAGCTCTCCTCTGGCCCGCCTATATCAGATACATCGATGTGATTGGTGCAGCACGGCTCCAACGGCATGGGTAATGAGCGTCATTACTGATTGCCAGAGTGACTCGCTGAGCAAATTCAAATTGTGCTCTCGCGAGAACTCTGGATTTCCAGGGTATCGTGTTCCCCTGATTTCGTAAAGAAATTTGTTTTTCTTACATCCCTCTGAGGTGAACGGAAATCCAAAAAGGCAACATTCTTCATTGAACTGAAGTAATAAGGTCCACATTTAACAACAAAACTACATCAAAACATTTTACAGACTCTCACACAACTGCATGTGTTTGTAAAGTACTGAGCATACGACCGGATAAATGATGCTGCACTGGTTGTGTGAGAGTTTGTCGTTTAAATTGGTCCCAATTTACTTCAATTCATGACGAATATTTACCTTTTTGGATTCTCCGTTCACTGTGGAGGGATGCAAGACAAACAAAGTTTTCTTTACAAATACAAGGTAACATGCAGCAAGTAACTGATTCACAAACAGTCATTTTGCAGGTGAAGTGTTTATTTAATAACCCACTTTCAAAAGTGCATTAAACAGGCTCTGCTTGGAGAACATGTCGAGCCAAGTGAAGATGTATCTCAACAATCTAAAGGAGTGCTGGGTTGTTGATAGGGGCTTGTTGTACTATAACATGACATGACATGCTGTATGTTTGACAGTGTGACATATAGTCATTGTGTTGCAATGAATGATTTTTATTATCATCATTTTATCTGTAAGTTATTTTTTGATTAATGCGTTTTATCTTATAGGCTATAAAACGTCCATACAAATTTTATAAAAATGCCCACTGCAGTTTTCCAGGACCTGAGATGATGTCTTAAAATTATCTGTTTTGTCCAAACACTCATTTTTTACAATTCTAAATCGATTTACAATTTAAAAAATGGATTCTTCTAAAATTGAATAACTTGAAGTTGCTGTATGTGATTCTGGACAAAGATTACTGCTTCATTTTCAAGTTGTTGAACACCAACGCACAGTTGGCAGTCGGACAGAACCACCAGTCCAAAGTGTCAGTATTTGACGACCTGAGAATGAGACTCAACAATCAACTATCTTCCTCCAGAAAATCAAACTGCACCTTTCAAAATGAGCTTTGTAAGACACAGGTGAAGTATTTTGTGAACACTCTATACGCCATTATCCAAAGACCTGTGGCTGTATAGGATCATGGAGAACGTTGGCTTTTATCGGTGCGAGTGTTGCAGCAGAAAGTGTATTCTCTACTGTGTAATGTTAGTGAGGGCACTGCTGACTGTTTGTCCCCCGTTAGTCCAGAACCATAGACTGTACGCAAGGATGAACACTTCCTCCCACTGTACAAAAATGAAGCCAAAATATCCTACAGTTACAGCTCGACTAGGTCATTTAAATGAACTACTGTCCTTGTCCCAGTATACAAGCACGGGAGGGGAATCCATTTATTGAGCCAAGTATGTGCGACTCCTCTACGATAGGTGGAGATATGCCCCCTTTCAGCTTGTTAGTATTGGACCTTTTTCCTGTTGACCTATTATGTCACAGACCAAATAATGGACAAACAAGTTAGCTACGGTTAGCTAGCAGCTAACTGGTACCATGGTGGACAACTTTACAGCTCTGTACATTTGGTTCGTCCAAAAAGTCATGGCTCTGGATGTAGATTTCTCCATGTTGTTACCAGCTTCTTCTTCTCTTACACATTTAATGCTATTGGATTTCCGGTTCAAAGCCTGGGGCGGAAACTGTGGAGCATGCTCAGAGCGCCTCGGCCAGTTTGGGTCTGATTGACTGTATACATGCAGGAGTCGCATGATCTGGGTGTGTTAGTCCCACTGTGAGAAGTTAAATTTAGTTTGATTTCAGTCAGACTAACATGTGTTATAAAAGTCCATTTTTAGTCGGACTAACACAATAAATCATTTTTCTTTGATGTCATGTAAACTCACTGACTGTTGATGGTCAGTACATTACACTTTCATTTCACTATTTTCATATGTGCAGAGGACTGTAAAATATTTCCAAACTGAGTGATGTTGCCAACTCACACACACATTTTTCTGCTCAGTCAGACAGTGACCTTCATCATGACCAGTTAACTCAGCAGTCAGTTATGTTTGGACTAAAAATACAAGTGAGAGCTTTGGCCCACAGTGCACTGGAGTAAGATCCTGAGAGCAGTTCCCCTTTTCTACTTACTGAATCAAGAATCAATCTTAATCGTGACATCAAGAATCACATTCAGATGAGTTATGACAGTCAAATATTCCCACAATTCATTTCAGCAGTTCTTATAACACTTTGACATGTGTGCTTGTAGCAGTTTAACAAGCTTTGGTAACGTCACAGACTGGGCACAGTACCTGTAACTTGGCCTACGATGGCCTGAGAGATCCTGCGATTGTTGAGGAAAGTTTTGATCTCTTCTTTCACCAGGTTGCTGTCTCTCCTGCAAAACCAACACAAAGCCGTGGAGGCATTAGAAGTGTTACACTGTGGTTAAAACACCAGCCTTTGCTCTGACTAACCTTATTCACTGATGCTTCTCTTTTTTCAGCCGTCCCCAAACACTTGACCTGAATTAACTCCAGTAAAATTCTGGAGAATAAGCCTGCGCCTCGGGGGACGCTAGCTGTCATTATCTGATGTTATAATAGTCTCTCTTTGTCTCTACTATTCTTTTGGTCTTGCTTCCCGGCTCGTCCTCACCCAGCTATCTGATAACACTAAGCTCCACCGTCCTCCTTCTTCCCTTACCTCATGTACTCCTCCACCTTCTCCTCCAGGTCCCACTCCTCCTCTCCCATCATGTCGTAGCTGAATGACCGCTGGACCGCCACACTGGGAGGGTAGAGGGGCGGAGGCGAGGCCTCGTAGCTATTGCTAGGGGACAGAGCAGCGCCGTCAAGGCCGGAGGTCTGCGTGGTAGCAGAGGCTAGGGAGAGCGAGGAGGAGGAGGATGAAGATGAGGACGGGGCCGGAGCAGCTGTGGTGGGGGTGTTGTTGGACGGGGCGGGTTGGGAGTCACAGTGCGACGGGCGGTGGTCAGGGTCGAGCCTCTCCAGGGACTCCAAAGCGTGGATGATCTGAGGTTTGGTCATGCCGGATAGACGCAGGCGCTGCAGGAGGTCGATCTGCTCGATGGTGTAGCGCGGCTCCACCTCACAGCACTCCATCCTGGCATCTGCAGACACAACGTGGGGGTGCACGTTTGATCAAAGGGAATCTGAGACTGTCACTTTGAAGGAAATACAAGCCCATTATTGTAAGTGAATATGAATCAACTGTATTGATACACCAAAGGTCTGCACGCTGGGGTTGATTTCTCACCAGATGAACAGCACCCCAACACTGCACAGAGTGTAACCAACACATATACTGCTATATTTATCTCTACCTTTGATCAGAACTTAAATTTAGATAATATATCCCAAACTTTTTCAGAACCTGCAGACAAACTGATCAGTGATGAAAGGATTATTAATAGATAAAGAAACCCAAATAAAAACAGACAGTCAGAGCTGGATTCAAACACTGCACTTCCTTTTTTGGGGGGGTTCATTTATCTTATGCAGATCTGACTAAATTGATTTTAGTTATGCTAATAGCACAGAACTTTGAGTAAGACTGGTTTGAAAAGCTGAACTTAGGGGGAAAAAAAAAACAGACCGCATTCTCCTCTGAAGAACCCTTGGGTCATTCAAAATTTTGGCACCCTTTCAAACACTTGGCACAGACACTTGGGGCTAACCTTGCTCCATTTGTCCAGGGTGGAATTAAAGTAAGATCACCCTGGCATTCATAACCTAACATCAGGTCCACTGGGCCTAGACACATCCATCCATCCATCCATCTTGTCATGTCCTATACCTGTCAGTCAAGGATCGTAGAGAGCCTTGCCTCTGCGTTCTCCAGCGTGAACATCACACTGAACTCCTTTAGAAAATCTAACAATTTGACATGGCCTTGCATACTTGAAAGGGTAGACATGTGGGACGACACAACTTTGCACGTTTTACCAATCTGGTGAAACCACTCTTCAATTCGGCATAGGTGTGATTTTGTAAACAACGTCACTTCCGTCTAAACACACAGTGTAAAGCTGCAAAAAGCACAGCCAACTCCCTTTAAAAAGTTTGTCCTGTTAAATGAGATGTGAGCCACTCACTTGAGCATTTTAAAGATGTGTCAAGTGCACTACTGTCTTGTATTTACCTTTGTACACAAACAGGATAAAATTGACCTACTAGATGCAAGAATTCAGTTTCACATGTTGTGTTTACGGGACAGACAGGCACCATCACACCCACACTAAGTCTGCCAGTTTGCCACACTGGTGTTTTGGTAATTCCTGCACAAAACTAAAAGGTCCAGGACAAAGCAGCAGGCTGAGTTTAGCTTTAAAAGTAAGTTAACGGTGTCCCGTGTCTGAGGTGGTCTTACCTGGAGGAGGGGGTGACACAGACAGGCGCCCCGGGAGTGGTTCAGTGCGCGGGGTCGCAGCGGGGACACACCACTGTCGCATGGCTCCGCGGAGTTCAGCTCGGCTGGACCTCTACAGAGTCACACAGGAGACGAGCTGCAGTGTGTCGCGGTTAAGCTGCCTCCATTAGCATGCTGGCAGACATACAACAGCAGATGACTCGCTAGCAGGCTATGGTGGCTAAGCTAACACCGTCAACTCCGGCTGGTTCCCCTGAGCTGAGCTCCAGCCTCACACCGATAGCTGCCTGCTGCTACCTACTTGTGTCAAGTTAGCCAGCGCGAGACAGACAGAAAGCGGAAGTAATACAATGCAACCTTCAAAAATAAAAGCATTCGTGGCATCTAAAGACAATGCCCAGATTTTTAAATTTGTATGGTTTCTCTAACAACAACAACAATAATAATAATAGTAATAACCTCTCTGTGGCTTAGATTATATCCCCACAAGAACAGAAAGAACAGTTCCAACTATTAAAACTTTACTTCTGAACAATAAGCATTGACTTAGGGACTGTACTCTATTTATCAGAAGAGGCAGGGGTGTGTAGCCTGGTTCCAGACCATAGACCCCGCCCACTCAACTGAGTAGGCTTGCATTACTGGTCTGGCATACTTCAGTGAATTTGTGATTTATCTCGTCCAAACGATGGACGGACCAATGAACGCCGGGTGAGGATAGCAACAATGGCGACCGCTACAGATCCTACAGACCACATTAACGATGCTATCGAGGTATTTCGCCACTATTCGCGTTAATGGAGGACCAAATTAAGGAAGCTGCTAAACTGGATTTAACAGCGATGCAGCTGGGCGTGCACGACGACGGAGACATTTTAAACGGGCAATGCTCGCTTGTTTTCGGCACCCCCGAATAGGGATGGGTCACGATTTTTGATTTTCGAATAGTCGTTTTATTTTTGAAAAATCAATTTTTTAATGCGACTATTACTATTTGCCGTCCTATTTCCCCCCCTTTATTTGACATGCAATTCAGCTCCTAACCGCACGAGGGCAGTCTACAAGGGCAGGCGATTATTCGAAAAATTGTCGAATACTTGCCACGATTTTTGAATAGTGTTTTTGCTTGTGTTGCCCATCCCTACCCCCGAGGCATGGATACTAATGACGTCAGATTCTGGGTGAGTCGTTGATCTCTACTGATTGGTTAGGGAAAAAATCAAATCCCCTCCCCCTTGTAAATCGCCTTCAATGGAAGCCATGTCAGACTGAAGGTTCTGGGAGCTTCAGTCTGACACTCAGGCTAAGGGGCTTCATTATTACTATTATAATCATCATTATTATTATTTTATCATGACACTACTCCTCACACTACAATATGTTTCCCTTTATTTTTTATTTTATTTAACCTTTATTTAACCAGGCAAGTCATTAAGAACAAATTCTTATTTACAATGGTGGCCTGACAAAAGGCAAGAGCCTCTTGAGGAGAAGGGGACAGGGATTAGAGGGGTATCAAAAGATAAAAGAAACAGTACCACATACAACGTGCATTACATAAAAGACAAATAGCATAAAGTGGCTAACAGAGAGCAGCATCACATATCACATAGTACAGCAACAACAAAAGTAGCGCACACATGCAGCAGGACGGACAATGTAACATCAGCAAAAATAAAATAAGTAATGCAACAAATAACAACAAATATACAAAGACAGACTGGCAGAGCAATAACAATAGCAGCACGAACAAGAAGCATACAATGAGGAAACAGAAAGTAGCCAGCAGACAGAAGTTTTAGAAAGAAATATTACTGGGTCAAGAACAGCTGCCCTGAGTGATACGGGAAAATGCATGACCCTCCCTCCATCATAAATAACCACATTTTTGTAAAATCACACTAGAGACTGACATCTTTTCGGGAATCTTTTGGGTTATGTGATTTCTGTGGGATTCCCGCGGGATGGGACTCAATTTTTCTATTCATTACGTGACTAGGACAGGACAGGAGAAAAAGACAACTGGACAGATCAGACGGGAATCATATAATAACCTATTAATATAAAGTGAGTCAGCAGCTATTACTTTGTTTCCACAGAACACAGGGAATATATGTGTGAGAACACAACATTTTACGTTAAGCATGTCAAGTAAAATGCATCATTTGTTAATATAATATTATCACGATGCTAATTACTGTTAGCCAATTCATGGTAATTCCTATTGTATGTTAGCATCAAGCTAATGAACTCAGCCAGTGCGATTTATTTGACACATTGTTGTATCAGTTCGAATCAGAATAAGGTTAATTACAAAGTAGGTTTTCATTTATAACAAAGGTGCATACAAGAAACATATTAGGAGGAAAGGAAATCAAATGTAAAGGTAAAAAGTACCATAACAGTTAAGAATAAAATACAGGTTAGAATAGAAATATTACAATAAAAATATGGACAAAAACTGTGAAATAAAAATGTACAAGAACAAAGAAAATTACAAAAAAAATATTGTGAAAATATCTTAAAATAAATGTATACAGTTGTTTTAGCTGTTGTCAGAAGTTATTTCTTAATTCAGCATCATGCTGTACTCTATAGTTGATTGAATATGCATAGTTTCATATATGAATATGCAACTTTGAATGAATGCTATATTATTTATGCACTCAGCAGAATATGGCTCTCAGCAGAATATGGCTGCATGACCGCCACACACAAAACCAACAAAAGTTATTAAGCCTCCACATCACACACGCTCATTAAAGCAAACCTGCTTTTTACACCACTAGCAAGTTTATGGGTTTCAAGGGTATTAAAATTAAATACAAAATTAGACAATTTAAACATAAAAATCCTTCTCCTAGGCAAAATAAGAAACATAATTCCATTTTTTTTTTTTTGAAGTGCCTGAACCATTTTGCACCGACCCCTCCCCTGTCATAAGTAATGAACAGTCCCTTACAGTGGCGGTCGGCTGCATGTCCAACCTGCACACTCTTTGCCCTTCATGGCATAGTTACAGTACGTGAACTATAGGAGTAAACTGGACTTTAAGTTATAAGTGCTGTATACAATAACAATCAAATAATTTTATCAGCTCTGATGCAAAGTTAAGCAAAAGTGATATGTTACACATTTGGAGAGACGATGTACCACTGTTTCAATCTAACTGTATAATTGTAAATTGGACGTTAGGGACTGTTATGAAGGAGGAAGGGAGTGGTGCAGAAAAGGGGGAGGCATGTCAAATAATTACGTAAACAAAGGGGAGGGACTTGTGTTTTTATTCTGGCTTAGGAGAGGGGCATGCAACTTAAATGGTTGTAGTCTGTATTTATTTTACCACTGGTGTTTTAAAGAAAACAGGCCTTTCAAACATGCCTATGGGCGAGTTAGTTGCACCATTTATTTCAGCCAGAAACTGTTAAAACACACATCATGTGTGACGAACTTCTGTCATCAAAATCACTTTCTTCTACGTCGCATTTAAAATTTGGCTAGATACAAACTGCACTGCATGACAAGAGTGTAAACCCACACAGGGGCTCAAGGGAAAATATTTGTAGCTCAGGAGGAGCAAAATAAATACATAAATAAATAAAGAGTCACATCTCCTCTGATAAGTAAAGAACAGTCCCTTACTGTAGACATGAGTTCAACCTCTGTAGCTTGTTTCTGAAAAGACTTTGTATACACAGCGCTCTTATTTTGAAAGACAACGGAAATGTCTTACTAGCTTGACACTTTAAGTCTGTCTTCTCTTGACCAACAACTTATCTAAAACTTGCGATATTTAACTTACATCGACCTTATTTCAGATTAGCTGCTCCGCGTGAAACCTTCGCGGTTATATGAGGCTGCTAGCAAACATTTGGTGCGTGTTAGCTCGAGGGGCTGGGAGGCTGGGACACAGCTAGCACAGTTAGCTCGCTAGCTAGCTAAGTTAGCCGCTAGCTAGCAACGGATTGTCCCAGCGCGGAGCAGCGCTCTCTTACCTCCCGGTGCTGTGGGGAGACAGCGGCAGCCGGCTGGACCGAGAGGGAAGATGGTGAAAACTGTGGAGAAAGTGGAGGTCCGCCCGAAACCCGCTACAGAAAGTAACTCCTCGGTCCGCAGCAGGCGGCGGATTAACGAGCAGAGGGTGAACGGTGCAGGGTCATATTGTCTTTCAGCTATGCAGTGGGTAAATAGTGTATGCAAATGTGGGGAGTCTGTCTCAATTTATGACCCCTCACCCGACACCACTGTCAAGGCAGCGAGAATCATAATCATCATTTCCGGTTATACTGTACTTTAAAAATACCATCTCTCACTGTAAACAGCACTGTGAGCACAAATAAAAGTTAATTTTACATTTTGGCAACATTATTTGGAAATTAAAAAACAAACAGTGCTCTCTCATATATCTAGATTATTGGCATCATATTTTTAACAGTTAAATAGTTTTATTTTGGTCAGCTAAAGAAAAATGTGTCTGTAAATATATCTGCCTTGACGCAGCACCACCCGACACAGAAGTGCGTTTGTCTGCAGATGTAAGCTGCCTTTCTTATTTGCAAGCATTTAAAGAAAAAGTAAATAGAACAAACAACACATCAGTAGTTTACTTTAAAACACTGGAAAAGATTTCACCTCATGACATGCTGTAGGGTCAGTGGTGCACCCAGAACTTTACAGGGGTGACCAGATGGGGCCCCTGAAACACACCAAAACCAAGTCTTCACTACATTTCAGGAATTTGATTGCTGTTCAAGTACATAGGTTATATATATGGTCCTATATGGGTATATATATATGGTTTAATTTGAAGGAGGAGAACACTGGAACCAAACTGGGAGCATCCTACTAATGTTTGGGGAGACTTGACGGTACCCACTCAGACATCTTGACATGAGTTCATGGGACCCTTTAAAAATGGCCATGCTAGTTCTTCTGTCGCCAAAATTAAGCCCAAATTTGGAGCATTATTTACCCCCCTCGCAGACAAGCTATGCCATCGTCGGTGGTAGCAGTGGATGCCTTAGGTTGTCTAGTTTAATAAGATACCGCTACCTTAACCTCCAGCTTTAAGATGAGTGTGCTACAGCCTCTTGAAGACAGTGATGTCAACCTCCAAATATTTTTGCCAGGGGAAGCAGTGGGGAGGCCAGTAATTTTACCATGGGGCCACGGCCCCCTCTTGGAGGCGCCAATGTGTAGGGTTGCTCAGGAATCCCTCACAGTTGTCTGATTTTAAATACTTGTATGTGTATATATGTGTTTCTATGTGTGTGTGTGTGTGTGTGTGTGTGTGTGTGTGTGTAGCTGTGTTGTAAAATGACAAATAAATGAACCTTGTAAATTTGTAAATGCTTTGTTTCATGAATCATTTAGTGGACACGCACTGATCAGTTCTCATTTGCACCCTACAGCCTGAAAATACATATTATCCCAGCTTTTCTTGTTTAGTTGACTAAACTGATTTTACATGCTGGTTCAAATATTGTTTTTGCCTGGAGTTGCAGGTTTACTATGAGTCAAAGAGCTTTAGGCAACACAGGTTTATTTAGTGTCACAGCACCTTTCAAACACAGCTGTAATTCAAAGTGTTATGACACAGAGATGAGAAGATAATTATGCAGTGTCACCACTGATTTACCACTGATGACTAAAAAATGACACAATTGGTAATTTGTTTCAAACAAAACATTCTCCCCTGCGTTTGGCGCCTGGGCTGTTTTACCCCTGCACCATCCAGGTGCCTCTCAGTGTAAAATTAATTCATTTTGGTACAGTCCTCTGAAGCCTGCAGAGGGACCAGAATTCAACCTCTCTCTTACAGGTGGGTTGAACTTGGACAGCTTGTCATGTGATGTGATATTGCTCCAGTGTCTGAATGATATTATGTCATGTTGTCTTGGTACCCAAACTGGGCAACATCTCTTATAGTTAGCTCTCAGAGCTGGAGGGTTACTTTGGGCCTCCCACTCTCCTTGCATTTTTGCACCTTGCAGACAGCCTGCTGCTGCAGAGAGTGAACATCAGCTGCTGAGAAATCTGATACACCAAGATTTAATTGTCCAGCTTCACACAGTCAGGCCACAGACACATGCAGTCTGTATGGTCTGAATCCAAAGGGATACTTCATCTTAGGGCTGATGTGGATGTGTACTCTCTTTCCAGATGTCATCCATTGTAGAGACGCTTAGCTGAACTGTGGACCACCTCCTCAGTTCTGGACAACATATAAAAACTACAAAACAGTTCAAGCATTTTATGAATTAGTGTCTGACTAGTCCACACCCATTGGTAGCTTTGTCACCTTCTACCTATGCCAATCCTCAATGCCTATGTGCAGTTTCACATAGATTGACCACATCAGTGAGTAGAAAAACGTGGGACAGACAGAATGACTGACTGACAGTTTCCATGATTATGTACAGCATACCATACCATGACTTAGTCATACCAAAAATTAGAACAACGACAACAACATTGGTCCACAGGGGGAGCCACAGCGATCGGTCGCATTTTAGCCATTTTGAAGCATTTTTCTGTTGTTATAGCGCCACCCAGTTGCCAATTAGAGTTAAATTTCTCCAGTCACCTTGAGGCGTCCTGTTCTACATATCTACCAAGTTTAGTAAAAATCCATATGGCGGTTAGGCCTAAATAAGAAATGAGCTCTCTAGCGCCCCCATTTTGTTTGATGGGGTCAATAATGGAGGGGTCCCCTCAGATTATGTGTGGTCATATGCCTACAAAGTTGCGTGGTGATGGGTGAAACCCTTGAGATGTTATACACCTTTATGTGATGAGCCACGCCCTCCGCAATATTCATTGCCTTATAGAAGCTCAGTTTTAGTAAGTTTTCCAACTTTTGCCAAGAGGGAACTTTAGATATTGGTCCCTAGATTATGTTCACCCAGTTTCATGCAGATCACTCAAACTTCCTAGGAAGAGATCCATTTGAAGTGTTTTTCAAAAAATTCAAAATGGCGGAAAATCTATATAAGCAGAAGTTATGGGTTCTTGAGGCAAATGTGTTTCTCATGAGGAGAGGCATCTCTGTGCAAAGTTTCATGTCTCTACGACATACGGGGCATGAGATATGCCCATTCAAAGTTTGACATTTCAATCGGTTGCTATAGCGCCCCCCTTTGGCCAATTGATGTAATATTGCTTCATTGGCATCAGACAGCAGACAGAGTTTTCGTCATCATATAGTAAGATGTGCACTGAGGCTGTGTCCATGACCTCATAAAGGTAACTGTATTTGACTCTGTTGTGTAAAGACTGAATTAATATCAATTATCTACTAAAAAACAACCTGCCTACAGGTGAGAGGTGCTGGTGGGTGGACAGTTTTTACCTCGGACAGAGTCAGGCCAGGTCAGTTCATGCTGTAGCTTATATTTAATGTAAATATGAGAGTAGTGTTTATCTAACCCTCAACAAGAAGGCAAATGTGTATTTCCCACAAGGTTATTCTACCTCTTTGAAGGGACCATTCACACCAAAATCTGAATCACACATTCTCCCTCTTACCTGTAGTGCTGTTTTTCAATCTAGATTGATTTGACTGAGTTGCAGAGTGTTGGAGATACCAAGTACCAAGTACCAAAAATACATCTGAAAAACTCAACAGCAATGTCTCTTTCCATAAATCATGACCAGGTTATTCAAGATAATCCACAGACGTTGTTACAGCTGATATCTCCAACACTCTGCAACTCACACCAAAACAATCTGGATAAAATGAGACAACAGGTAAGAGGACGAACATGGACTTCTGATTTGGGTTGAAGTGTTTCTTTAAATGTCTTACATCTAACTTGAACAGTGTGAATTAGTATCTAGCAATGTCCCTGCCTCTCTCTGTCTCTCCTTTATCAAGGTGTTTGCTATCACCAGTAACACCAGTGACTGCAGCATGAAGCATGAGTCTATGTTTACTTTGTTTAACATTCCTCCCTCCCCTTCAACTCGTGCCAAGAAGGCAGCAGTAATAAGTGCTATATTAAAGAGCCTTTGTGCCTGACGTGCTCAGTTCAGTTTGTATCCAAGCCATCTGTATTTGAGCACTCAGCAGAGTGTCTGCCACATTTAGGGGCCTTTTTGGGGCTTCTTTTATTTCGAGGTGGTCCAGGCTAACATCTGAAACATCATGAACTGGGCCTTCCTCGAGGGCCTCCTCAGCGGGGTGAACAAGTATTCCACAGCGTTCGGTCGCATCTGGCTCGCCATCGTTTTCATCTTCAGGCTCCTGGTCTTCCTGGTGGCCTGTGAGAAGGTCTGGGGTGACGAGCAAAAGGACTTTGATTGCAACACTCGGCAGCCCGGTTGTCACAACGTCTGCTACGACCATTACTACCCCATCTCCTACACCCGACTCTGGGCTCTCCAGCTGATCTTTGTCACCTGCCCGTCCCTTCTTGTGACGCTCCACGTGTCCTACCGGGAGGAACGTGAGCGCAAACATCGGCTAAAGCACGGAGAAGATTGCGTCCCTCTGTATGATAACATGGAAAAGAAGCGAGGGGGTCTGTGGTGGACCTACTTCCTCAGCCTGCTGTTTAAGATCATGGTGGATGGTGTGTTCGTCTTCCTGCTGTTCTACATCTACGAGGCCACGTTCTTCCCACCGCTGGTGAAATGCAACATAGAGCCATGTCCCAATGTGGTGGACTGCTACATCGCCAGGTAAGAGTACCTCTGAGATTCTAAAGATCCAGGAATCTGAATTGCTGAATTTGGCCTCTGACTTCCACTTTCTTCTAAAGCAATCAATATTAATCTTCTCTGTCTCATCTCTGACCGTGTGTCTTTCAGGCCGACAGAGAAGAAAATATTCACCGTCTTCATGGTGGTGACCAGCTTTGTGTGCATCTTCCTCACTTTCTGTGAGGTCCTCTACCTGTGTGGGAAGAGGTTCTGGGAGTGCTGCGGAGGAGGACAGAGCGCTCTGAGAGAAAACTCCTTCATGATGACCAGAACTGGGAGAGAGAACTCTCTGTTCAAAGAGCCGCTGCCGGAGAAGACGAAGATGGTCGACAACGGCAAAGCAGACGGTGCAAAGGAGAGTTCAGCCCCAGCGTACAGCATAGCAGTCTCCTGAGATACATGAGTCTTGTTAATGAGCTTGACCTGTGAGAATAGAGCTATGTCTGGTAGCTTCTGTGCTGTTCGCCACATTTGTTTACAAAGGTCGTCTGTTTTTACATCACAATTATGTAACGTGTTTGTCCCATTATACTGTTGCCTTTTTAAAAGTTTGTGATCCAAAATAACTGATGCACACAAAAAGTGATTGACTGTACTTTTTCTATTTATATGATTATTTGTTACATTACATCATTTTGTTGTCTGTATGGCCACATAATAAAATTGTTTTACCCATTCTGAGACGTGAGAGCTGCAGTGTGTGTACATCAACAGACACTAAGAAGTACTTTTGCATGAGCACCAATAATGTCACAAATTCAAACAACAAACGAAGACAGTATTTTCTCAAATAAACAATCATCCTGTGAAATTCACTTGGTTACATATTCCAATTTTATTCTGTTACAAAAAGTTTTGGAAATCCTACATATTAAACTGATGATCTGCGTATCATTCAGGATATTTTTTGAATGAGTGCTTTGTCAAATTTGTTTGGCAAAGACATTTTCAATGAACCTACAACATGCAGGGCAGATGCAAATGGGTGCAGCAGACTAACGTCTAGATGATGGATTACAACATGTTCAAAATTAATCAGAAAAACCACACCGTGACATTCCAAAATGTCTTGGGTACAAAATGATCCACACGTGGTCACTGATGGGAGTAACATTATTGACAAAAGTTGATACAACCACCACTCCTTCAAGTCCCACTTTGACGACAATTAACCACATCCTGCATTCCGTCAGAGCAGCAGAGAGCAGATTTACAAAGGATGCTATCATAAAACTGAGTGTACTAATAAGGCAGTGACTGTGGCACCTTGTTACCTGAGGTAACTAACAAGCAAACGCTTGTCATATCTGATTTTACAATATTGGCACTCCATATCTTGGGTGTATTTCAGCACCCGTAGTTCCAGAGTGCTTGCACAAACAAACGTTAGGTGTTGGCCAAGTTTAATTCTGATTAATCAAAGGTCTCAAAAGCACATATCTCCACATCATGGTTGCCTAATGGAGCTGATACCACGTCACATGTTAAGAAATGTGGTGATCAGAGTGGACAAACACACCTAAAGGGGGTGTAGTAAGGTCTGCTTGTTATTCATTATACCATATCACCGTTACTAGTTTGCACAAAGTCACACTCGGCCGAACCACTGATTTGTCTTTTGCTGTTTCATGGATGTGTTTTTTTGTACCACTTCAAAATAAGTGTACCTCGTCATGGATTCTCATGGGTCATGGGTTCTTGGACTCTTGAGTGTCAGTTTTAAGATAAACTGATGCTGACAAGAAGTAGTGGGAGATTTAGAGGTAAAGTCTGGGCGGATGCCAAGAGTGGCCACACCTCCCGACTATGGCCAAGAGTGGATTCTTGTGGCCGGTCAATATCAGAGAGCCACTGTGGAGGAGAGGTTGCCCGCTGAACGCATTCCCATAGTCTATTTCCCAGACAGGGGACATGATAGACTGAGAGGAAGACCTTTTTCTTAAGGTAAGCCAAGAGATTTTACTCATTACTTTACATTTTGGATCAATCATATTCAGCTTGCAAATCTGAGAACATTAAATTTAAGGGTAGAACTGGACATTCAGAGGCAGGATGAGAGAACATTTAACAAACTCTACCTTCAAGCTCGACTTTAACTTCCCTAAAGGCTGAAGCCAAGTGTTCCTCTGCGCTGCAGAAGGTTTTATATGTTGAACACGTGTTTCATCAATTATTAAAGGCATCTTTCTTCAAAGTGCTAAACTATGTAAGTAAGTGAAAATGCTTTAACTGTGGGACTGAGGCTCCACAGCTGTCAAAGAAATGGTGTGATTGGAAAAGAGAACCACTATCCAAAATGCGCAGTGAAATGTTTGGAACATGTTAGAGAGTATTTTGCTAAATTAAGGTTGATTTTATTTATGTATTTATTTGTATTTTAAAACCTTCTTTGGATAACTGCCTAACTCTGCGTCTTTGTTGTGTTCTAGCTCTCCAGTTTTTAAAATCTACCTCCTGCAACTTTAAAGACTCACAGGCCAACAGAAGCCAATCTTTGCCGAACTCATGGATTGGAAATTCCTCCAGGGTCTTCTTAGCGGAGTCAACAAGTACTCCACTGCCTTCGGACGCATCTGGCTATCAGTGGTGTTTGTCTTCCGGGTGTTGGTCTTCGTGGTGGCTGCCGAACGGGTCTGGAGTGACGACCAGGGACACTTTGACTGCAACACCCGCCAACCAGGTTGCACCAACATCTGCTACGATTACTTCTTCCCCATCTCCCACATCCGTCTCTGGGCTCTCCAGCTCATCTTCGTCACCTGCCCTTCCTTCATGGTGGTGCTGCATGTAGCCTACCGGGAAGAACGGGAACGCAAGTACCGAGCCAAGCACGGCGAGAACACTCGGCTGTACGACAACCCGGGCCAAAAGCATGGCGGTCTGTGGTGGACTTACCTAATTAGCCTCTTCATCAAGACCACCTTTGAGATCACTTTTCTCTACGTGCTTCACTACATTTACGAAAGCTTCAAACTGCCCAGGAAGGTCCAGTGTGATGTCAGTCCCTGTCCGAATTTGGTGGACTGCTACATATCCCGGCCCACTGAGAAGACCATTTTCACCTACTTCATGGTGGGAGCGTCCGTTGTGTGCGTGGTGCTCAACATCTGTGAGATTTTCTATCTGATCGCTGCCCGCATGGTGAACCTCAAACAACGAGGCAGCATTCAGACTTCATCTAGAAAGGTCCACCCTAATAGGGACTGTGATGGCTGCAAGTCATCTCTTACATCATAACTGGAAACCAAGTATAAACAAATGTTTGACTTACAATATGTGATCCTTTTTCCCCATTGAGGATATTTTCATTTAAAAAGTAATTTTATGTATAATTTTATATGTAATATAAATATATTGTATTTTGACACAAACGATCCGATGCTCTGCGCCAGAAGAAGACTGAATCATTTGAGCTGCTGTACATCATGAACTAATCAATCATTAAATGAAGAATTGAAGGATTGCTCGAATTTGTGACCACTGTCATTTTGGCAATAATGTGCCACATACTCGTACATACTAAACTGATCACCTGCGTATCATTCAGGATATTTTTTGTAATTGGGTACTTTGTCAAATGTGTGTTCGGCATTGACATCTTCAATGAACCTACAACGAGCAGGGCAGATATAAATGGGTGCAGTAGACTAAAGTGAACCAATAAAGATGTAGATGGTGGATGCAACTTGTTTAGAATAAATCTGAAAAACCACAATGTGATGTTCCAAAATGTCTTGGGTACAAAATGATCCACATGGGAGTTACATTATTTGTAGTATACCCAACCCAACCAAAGCTGACATTGTTTGTTTCTTGTACTGCCTAAAATGGTGTCAAAGTACTGAAATTTGAGTTATTTTTGCTTTCAACTAAATAATAAAACCACAGCAAACACATGGTCATGGGTAAGATTTGCTTTCTCCTACTTTAATGGCGCCATTTCTCCACCTGGTGGCACCAAAGGCATACTGCACTATCATGTGAAGGACGTGAAACCTTCAGAAAACATTGCAATGAATTCTCCAAGAGTTATTTTTTGTGATTGTACATTATTTGCACTGCTTAGGCAATTCTGCATTCATAAATATTTCTAAACTATACCTGTGGCACTATTTAGTATCTTTGATAATGTGATCAGATCTTAAAAAAGCACAATTATTTCTCTTTCCCAGGCTTTGATCCAGTTGTTGGCACCATAACGAGCATATTTCAGAACTGTCCTCAAGTATCAAGTAAATTTTCCCTACCACGGAAATACCAAGAGAAAACAAACAAACAAAATCAGGGAGGTGCTAACTAACAGGTGCATGCCTATGATCAAGGTTTACAAAATTAAACAGGTGAATTAGCGACTTTGTTTTCAAAATAAAAGCATGAAATATATTCCTACAGTTGAAATATCTGTTGGAGAGCATTTAAAGGAGGAATGTAAGAGATAAAACATATTTGCAGTATTAATTTACAACAGATTATACTGAAACATAATCCTAACTTTTGTAATTTTGCTTAAACTTTTGCATTATTACCTCCCTTCTTGCCATTTTTCTAACTTTCACCTGCTACATGATATTGCTTGAGGAAATCCAGTTAATGGGAGTTATTAAACTCTTCAAACAGCAACAAACAGGTGTTTTGATAAGCATACTACAGTGTTTGTCGTGTTTAATACACTTCTAGGAATATATTTTTAAATAAATTGGATTTTATTTTGAAAAAATAAAAGCGCAGAGGACTCAGTGTGCGTCCTGCTGACAGACTGACAGACAGACAGACAGACAGGAGTGAGGTGCTTCGTTTGGACAGAAGAGGAGACACGCTGATAAAGTCCACAGCCGAACCCCACCGTCAGTTTAAGCGAATGGTGACCTGAGAGAGATGGCCGATACAGGTAATGAACATGCCTGTGAGGTTTATTTAAATGAATGTAAACTGCAGACATGTGTTTGTTTCACACAACAAACTTTCGGATTGTTTGTTTGGGTGTGGTGCGGCACGCTGCTGTGGAGGTGATGAGCTGTGGTGTGTTGGGAGGAAAGCTTTGAAACTGTGTTATCAATTCAATATTTCTATTTCGTCTAAATCCCTTCAGAAGTTAGAAAAGGTTTCCTGGCAGGCTGAGACAGTTTCAACAACCCCTGTACCAAAGTCGTGCTCCTGATATTTCCCAGTGCTTTAAATGAGAAATGAAACTGCAAATTGTTCTTGTGATCCATCTGAAGACACATCCTTTGTTCCACATGGCTGCAGGATGTGAGGCTGAACAGTGTGAAGGCTGGTGTGAAATCCAAATCGTCACCTTTGCTCTGCATGGGTTTGTCTCGGTAAAAGCAAGAAATGTTCACCAGATACTCAGATGTGAAACCGTCTTGTCGAGTGAGGATGGGAGCAGCAGGTTCAAATGGAGTTGAGTCCTTTGCATAAACACACAAATCCAGAGGGGGAACTCAAAAAATTCAGCTCAGAGTTTTAGTTTGTTACTTTTCAAATGACATTTGCTTCGCAAGGTGTCTGTGTTCTGAGAAATTTAGGTTTTAGGTTTTAGGTTTAATGTGAGATGTTAACAGGCATGAGCACGCACAGTGTGGCCTGAGTTACTTTACATGTGTTGAGCATAAGAACACTACACTGTCAGTGCCAGACCTATAACATTTGGTGCCCCAGGCAAGCTTCCCCTGGTGCCCCCCCACATTATTAGCTTCTATTTATGATTATTGGATTCATTACAAACAAGAGCGAATGACAAATCCACACAAATAAACCGTAATAATCCACATACTCTCCACTCCCCCACTAATAAATGCTCTATCATGATCAATGATGATCGCTCACTGATGACACATTAAGGTGAACTGTATTGCCAGGACTAGAGGTGGTACCATTACTACTAGGGATGAGTATCGTTAAGATTTTATCCATACTAGTCCTCGTATCAAGGGTGGAGCTGTGGTTAGCATTGTGGCCTCACAGCAAGAGGATTCCTGGTTTGAACTCAGGGTGGGAGGTTCGCACCTGGGGTGGGGGGAGTCCCTCTGTCCGTGTAGGTTTCCTCCAGGTGCTCCAGCTTCCTCCCACAGTCCAAAGACATGCAGGTTAATTGGTGACTCTAAATTGTCCGTAGGTGTGAATGTGAGTGTGAATGGTTGTCTGTCTCTAAAGCCCTTTTTAGACAGGAGTTGTGCAAATTTGCAGGAAAGCCCAATCAGTCTTTTTTCAGCATTGGCAGTATAAAGACAAAATCGGGGAGTGCAGCAAAATGCCGCCTACCTACTTTTGTTTATACAGAATGTGCCTTTTTCGGGGCAATGGGGGGCGTGAGCAAGTAACAAAACGTGTAGCTCAGCGTGTGACGTAAACGGCGTGCAATTCCTTGTCTCCCCAGTTGCTCATCTTTACAGTGTCTGTCAGGTTTGTGTTTCCCTCTTGCTACTAGCTGCTCGCTAATTCCTGCTATCAGCTGTTTCCTGTTTATCCACCGCCAGTGGCTCGCACGTGCGGCGTCATCAACAGCTCCTCCCACAAGTCATCAACAGCTCCTCCCACAAGTCATCAACAGCCCCTCACGTGGCGGAAGGCAACCTCGGTCTGTTTAAACCAAAAAGGATCCACCAGTATGTTTACCTCTACAAGGCGGAAAATTGGGCACCTCGGATCAACTCGCCAATCCGGCTCTGTGTGTCTAAACGCTCGCAGTTTGCCGGCAAAACGGCCCAACATTCGCCAAAAATCTGGCAGTGTAAAAGGGGCTTATGTGTCAGCCCTGTGAGAGTCTGGTGACCTGTCCAGGGTGAACCCCGCCGCATCGGTTCCTTTTCATTTAAAATAATAATAAATATAACTAAACAATTGCTTTTCAGAAAATACATTAATTTAAAGAAAATAAATTCAAGATTATTGAATATTTTAAATATATCTGAATGTTGTTTCTAGAGCAGCAACAGTAATTTTTACAACAGCAAAGCCACTATATAAATACTATTCCTGACATCACAATACTAAGAGAAGTTTAGTTTTTACTGTCACTGTAAGTCATTCCCTCTGTCCTCTGTCCTCTGTCCTGCTGTCTCTCTGCTGATGTGATTTCACTGTGTGCAGGTAACATTAGTGCTGGTAGAGGGAGGAGGGACTGTGTGTGTCAGCCAGCAGCTTAGTTTAAACATATCTGCCCAATCTTCAGATAACAATTCACTATCAGCCAAACGATCATGCCGTCCTTGTGTAAAGCATAATGTTAGTGACGGTGGCTGAGAGGCTGCGGACACAGCAAAATGAAATATCTCTGTCTACTACTTCTGTTCACTGACTTTACTCTGATCTGTTCTATAGTTATGTGTTTAGCAGCTAATCATTAATACAAGTGACATCTCCGCTGTGGTTTTGACCCGGGCCTCGTGTTTCTGATCAATACAACGTGGACAACATGGCTGATGTAACATCGCCTGAAATCTCTGTCACTCTCTGTTTAGTATCATGGCTCTGTACATTAACTTGCTTCCTCTCCTCAGGACTGTGTTGTGCCAGCCTGGAGGAGCCCAAGACCCTGATGAAGATGGGTCTGAGCATGGTCCTCATCGGTCATGTGAACTTCCTGCTCGGAGCGCTGGTGCACGGTGTGGTGCTCAGACACATCAACCTGCACAGGCAGGCCCGGGCCATGGAGTACGCCATCTCTAATGTGGTCGCGCTTACCTCTGGGCTTATAGTGAGTCTATAGCCATATAAGATGTGTGCTAATCCTACAGCAGTTATCAGGACGGCACAACATCTGTGGGAATATTACTGAGAATAAGGGAAAGACGACTTTTTCGACATTATGTCCATTAGACAGAGAAAAAACAGACACATAAACAAACCATGAAGAAAAAGCAATTTCATTTCAGCACTCTGTGTCAGACTTTGCAATTTCAAGTTGTGGAGTTTTCCATCAGGGCTGTGGTTGCACCCTGCAGACCACAAGCGACAAATGCATTTAAAGTGAACCTAGAATTGATCATAAAGTACTGCAGAAACTTTCTAAATACAAAAATCAATATTGTAACAAAGGGTTCTTTGGGCTTGTGCCTCGCTGGATCCTTCTAGTCATTAGGGCGACTTGTAAAACCACTTTTACTTGTAAAACCACTTTCTTAAACATAGAGCCCTCGGAAAACTCTTTATGTACACAGGAAGTACATGTGTACTCTCCCTTTTTAAAAATGTAGAATATTATTGTTTGTTCAGCCACAGATTTGTGTGACAGTTGACCCTTTGCTAAGCCCTGCCCCCGGGACACAGTCTGGTCAGTCATAGTGTAGCATCGGCCAGCTCTGACCAACGGCTGTGCTCGTTTCAGATTTTCCTCATTTTCAGGCTGGTTTTGTGGATGTAGAGTAAGTCATGGGTAAATGTGTTGCAGTGATACCTGTTACCTGGAGATGTTGGAAGGAGATGTTTTCTTCTCACTCCAAAACCAAACTCAAACCCTGAAAAGTGTAGCGTTAGCAAGCTAGCTACTGGGTATGGGCAATATAAGTAATTTCCATATTTGAGTATTGGCATTGAATTGAGATCGAGTACTCGAGTACTCAAACATGAAAACCAAACAAAATGCATAAGAACAGGACCCTAAATGAACACCCAAATGAAAATGCAGGTAGGGGTTAGGGGATAGCCAGTGTTTCGGCACTGCAGAGACTGTAGTGATCAGCTATATGCAAGTTTAACATCACATAACATCTACATTCTGCCTATAATGTTAGATTGAATAATGTCTGACTGAAAATGTTGACCCTTACCTGTAGCTGCTTAGATCTATCATTTTTGCTATCAGTATCTTTGCAGATATTCATAGGTAGCGGTGAGAGAACTGCGTCCTGTCCAAAAACCATTTTAATATCGAACAGGTTCAATTTACATGTATCTGTTATATGTACTCTCTCATGCAAAGCAAAGGAAAATTAAAAATATAATAACGCGATATGTTGAACGAATACTGATGTCCAAATCGAGTACTCTTGCATCATCCACCATCCCTACCAGCTACTGAAGGTATACTAAATATACAAATGCTGCTTTTGCATTTAAATAATTGGAACAGTGCAAAAGACCTACTCTGCTTTACAGGAACTGAGGAGGGAAGTAGGGAAACTTTGCCAATTTTCAACTAGGTCTGTGTCATTGCAGTGTGTGCAGTTGAACGCACTGCAATGACACTATGTTTTCTCTTTTGTTGTATAATTCCCCTGGAAAGCACTGTGTGACTTACGTCTATGAAAAGCGCTATATAATTCATTTTTACTTTCTTGACTTTACTTACTTCCCTGGGAGCTCCCTTCCCATCTGCTGGCAGAGGTGTGGGCACTGGCAGCACAGGGGGGAAGCCAAACACCTTTCATCTGCACACACTGCGATGACATAGAGCTGTTTTAAAAAGTTTCCCTTTTAATTTATTATCTTTTGTTTCGATCACCAGGTGATGTGGTGATTCAACTCTCACACATTCATCGACAGGCTTTAGCTTCTTTATTTATATTTTTGCCACCCTAGACATATCCTTCAAACATAATGCGACACACATTCTGTCTGCTTCTCTCTGATATCGCCATTTTTTCACAAACAATTCATATTTCTTCAGGTATTGCAGTTGGACAGTGCGGGCTCCACGCTAGCGGCCACAGCTTGACTGACCTTCACAAAGGGGCGGGGCTTAGCAAAGGGTCAATTAAGGGCAATTCTATGATGAGTTGTTTTTCCACAGGCTTTGCAACAACAACTTTCAAAGCACACAAAGACGCTTAACGACTTATTTGAAATGCTTGTAGTGTACACACAGCTGTGGTGTTGACAGATTCAAGTTTTGACTTTCGTTGTTTTACGACCTTGAGTACATCAGACTGGGTGAGAAATATGTGGTTGCAGTTGAGCAATATGAATTTTGTTTAAATCTCTGCTGTCTCGTCTCTGCAGGGAGTTATTGTCGGCATTCTGGCTATTGTCCTGTCTAAAAACAAGAAGAGTCGAGGCCTGGTTAGTATCACTTATGTTTTTCCTATAAACAGCCTGCTGTCAGTTCTTCCCCCTGCTGCTCTCACTGTCTCTTCTCCTCTTTCCATTGATCCCTCCTACATTGCCAGATCAGTATTGTCAAGGCACTCTCTGCTAAGTTTGATCTGTCTGCCTGCGCTGCACGCACACTTGCTTTTCTCTTTGATATTTTCATACATTATTCTCAGCTTTGGTCTCAGTCTATCCAGTCAGGAGGACATTAAAAACCCCCTTTGAGCTCCTGCACGTTGCCTCAGGTGTCTGAATCGGAGCCTGCAGAGCTGGAATAGTTTCGGTGTTTGTTCCGCTCTCCCTCCGGTCATGCAGCACGGCTTCTCCTGTGTGTTTACTCAATCAGCTGTCAGGCTGCTCAGACGGGACTGACGAGGCAGTGAGCTGAACAGAATGAGTAAGCGCGGGCGTACCTGCCGCGATAAACCACTCCCCGTTCCCTTTGTTAGTGAGAGCAACCGTGATCTGGGCAAAGCAGCGGTTAAACTCCTCATCCGTCTTGTTATCTTTTTCAATAATCCAGGCATCACATTGCATGAATAACAAGTAAGCTTAACACTCCCTTTTTTATGTTAACACAGTCCTTTATCACACGTAGTGGCTACTACAGCTTGTAATCTCTCTACGTCCATTATTTCTTAGTGTTCTTATCAAGTTTCGACTCAGCCGCTCAGTCATCTTCTCAATTTAAATGTCTACAGACTTTCTGTACTCATGTCTCACCTTCTGTAAATGTATTAAAGGATAGGTTCACTGTTTTTGTACTTGCATATTATTTGTCATAGCTGATAGCTTTGGTTTCTAATGTTGCAACTTCTTACTGGGAGTTTGGATACGGCTATTAAATGACCAAAACCAGTCAGTAGTCTCGCCTTATTTTAGACATCCCTATCCTTTCTTTGCCAAGACTATTTGTTCTTATCGAAAACATGAATCTTTAAAAAAAAAAAAAAAAAAAAGCTTAGGCATGGCAGTAGTTTCCAGCAAATGTCACTCAAACAAGAGTTAATAGTGTATTTGTTGGGGTTGATTTTCAGCTGCAGATCTGGTGTGTTACGTTATTTATCACAGCAGGATGGTTTGTGTGTAATTGACTCAAACCACAGTGGCCATATTCATCATAATAAAGGAGCCCAAAATGCTCATCACAACTTCGTAGAGCCCACGGTGATGTCTTCATGTGTGTTGATTTGTTTGACCAAACGGCCCAAACACAGATGTTCACTTTACATTTAAATATTGGTGAGAAGCAGCAGATTCTGCAGTTTGGGAGGCTGCAGCCTGAGAACGTTTGACATTTTTTCAATAATTAATAGTAGTTTTTCTGTCAACTGACTTATCAACTTATCATTTCAGCTCACAGGATCAATTCATTGTTCATTTTGGTCTTTTCCTGGGAATCGGCAATATGTAAAATATAAAATAACTTCATCCTTTAAACTCAGTTTAGTGTAGAGATCGTTCAGGTTATCAGAAACCCTCAAAAATCTTTCAGGAAAAAAGAAGCTCACAGTAAATGACACTGTTCAAATGTTTTACAAAAAAAAATGGTCACATACTTTTGTTTTTGCATGTTAGTGACTTTATTTTTCACCAGTTCTTGCATTATGTTGGAAAGCTAGCTTAATGGAATACTCAATTGTGATCGGCTGCAGGGTGTCCACTCATTCCTGACTTAAGACACCTACCAAGTAGTTCCAGTGAATGTGTCTGGGGACTGTGACATGTCTGGATAGTTGGCTCGTCTTGTTGTTGAACACATTGTCATATTATATTTACTGTTTGTCAGCCATACGTGATGTTATGACTTTGAATCTTGCTAGCGCAGTGTTAGCTTTTTGGCTTATAGCTTAGCCAAAGGGTTCTGTGAGCTGAGCGGACTAGAAATATCATCTACTGCCAAGTTGTTTTTAAAGTTTGTCCTGTTTGTTGGAGACGCAAACAACATTTCCATTGCATAACACCCTCATGGGATGGTAATGATTATTACTTATTACCAGGTGTTACCAGGGAAACTTTAGATTTTGATTGCAAAATGCAAGAAAATATGTATTTTCTTTTACTTTGATTAGTGAGCATAGTATAAGTGAGATGACGCCTGTCAAAGTGTCCAAAATCAGGAATTAATGGTCCCCCTGTCCATGTTTTCCAGTGATAACAAACACATTACCCTAACACATTTCCTCTCTCCATATTAATGTTGTTTATTCTTTGCTCTCCTCTCATGTGCTTACTGTTGCCCCACTTTTGCAACTTAAGCTTAATCTTCTCAGCCATCATGGTTTTGATCCCTGATTGTTTTCCTTGTCTCTCCTTCTGTTCCCCCACAGACGTGGTCCCTTTTCATGGTCGGTCTGGCTGCGGCTCTCATGGCAGCAGCCTCAGCCATCGGACTCTTCATATCTGTGGTGAGGGCCATCATTCACGGCGGGCGAAGCCTCCTGACTCACTGCCGCTTCCCCGATGCCATTGGCTACTCCAGCGTCACCAACGAGTGTCCTTTTGACCCCACACGCATCTACGTGAGTGTATTAGTGTGTGTGCGACAGACGCTGAGATCAAGGCGTGAACTGTGACCTTCTCTGCGGAGGCTGGCTCTTTGAACAGCTGACCATTGTCACGGCTGCATATACACAACAGAGCCGTGTGGCTGTGCCCCTTTTGTGTGTGTGTGTGTGTGTGTGTGTTTGTGTGTGTATGTACACAGAGGGTGTGGGAGAAGGAGGGAGCGTGAGGCTGGGTGTCTGTCTTTTCTGTCACTCAGTCAGTCACATTGTGCAGCCGGTGGGCTGGTGGCAGAAATGCTGACCTGACCCTGTCGGTCCACTTCAGGCTCTGTCCTGTTTCAGTGTGCCACAGATGGACTGTCACACCCGCTCAGCCTCACAGCTGCAGCCACACCATCACACAACTTTGGCATTTTAGCATGGCTAGTAGTTTACAATTTGTCAGTTAGGTGACCTTTGTCTTAAGCTAGAGTTATTCTTGATGTAAGGGGTTAATGGCAGCGCTACTGTAAATGCATACAGCGTCGCCTTTGAGTTATAGCTCAGTGTCAGATTTCATCCATTGGTAGCACACACATCATTAGGCAGATGTACAGCCCCTGACAGCATCTGTTTACATTAGGTCATCTCTTTGTGACACACAGCGACGGTGGGAGGGTTTTAACTCACCTCACTATTGAATAGAGGACTGGTGTCATGCAATCACTGCGGTTACAGTGCTGTCTGTCATCACACTGTCTCTTGTGTACCTGCTCGGGGCTCTGGGTAATTTCATAGTGCAGAGATTGAGCTTTTTGACTTAATGCACCACTGAGCAACTTTTATAGCAATGAACAGGGCCCAGCCTCGGACGCTGTATCCAGTTCTCATTATACATCCATGCTCAACCTGCAGCTATATCTACATCTACTTGTAGTAACTTCTCCTGCTATCTTTAGCTTGTATGCAGCTAACAGCAGTAATAAGCTGTCCAAATCAGGCCCCCAAGAAGTTAGCAGGGCTTTGAAGCCAATTTTTATAGTGGCCAAACAGTGGTACTGCAGTTTCTGGGATATGCCACGTGATGCCCTGTGACCCAAGACGACCTCATCGCATTTTTGAGCGTCGCATCCCCTGCAAAATGACTTGTTTCACTATCAGGATTTGATCCATTCAGTCCGATAACATTCAGAAGTCTTAAAGAGCTGCACAATTTAATAATGTTACCCCTACTGAAATTAGCAGAGAATTATGCCTGTGGATATTCTCATTTATCCAGGTCACAGTTATCTCAAGGCAACTGAATCGAACATAACTGGACTTAGTTTTGTCTTAAAAGACATTTCACCTCTTATCCGATGAATCTTATCTGATGAAGCCTCTTGGATAAGAGGTGAAACGTCTTCTAAGACAAAAGTAAGTCCAGTTGCGTTTGATTCAGTTGCCTTGAGATAGCAGAGCATTAATTCATAAGTTAGCCATTTGGTCGGCAGAGATAAGACCCTTGGCTGCACTTTGTCGTGCTTGGCCACTGTAAGTCTCTAGTAGGTAAGCCTGCTCTATGGGCTGCATAGTGTGAAAGTGATGCAAATTGTCCCTGAATTTTCCCTCATGCACCATTGAGCAACTCTCATAGCAATAAACAGGGCCCTGTGTTTATCACTGTATCCAGGTCTCTTAATACATCCATGGTCCAATTACTCAAGCACGTATAGCTGCAACTGGAGCAACTACATCACTCAAGGAAGCCCTGAAGAAAAGTTAGCACTTAGCCAGCTATGAATTGTTGGGTTAGGGTAAGGGTTACATCTTGTTACTCATAAGGTGGATTACTGCTATGTTTGGCTTCATATTTAGTCATTACAGTGTAACGTTGTAGTAGGGTTCAAATAACGGTTGCGTTGGTGGGTTTGTCTTGTACTAGTGATGGGTACGATTTGTATGGGTGTGTCGTGTAGGCTTCAAACTGAATGTGGCTGCAGCTAGACATGTCTCCAAATACTGACATAATTAACCAACAGTTGAGGAAAAGTCTTGTTTATTATATTTTGAGCTTTTGTTTTGTAGTCATGGCAACCATTCATATCAATATTAATGATTTTAAGAATTCTAAAAAAAGGTGAAAATCAGTGAGATATAAAGTGAGAAAATCAGTTTCTAACAGACTCCCAGGAGAGTCAATTTATCTGGAAGATAAAATTCCAGATAAAACAGTCAGTCTGTTTAGCTTTCCTACAACGAGGGATTACTTGTATCATTTTGGATGTGTTCGCTTTTGGTTTTTGCCTCTGGATAAAGTCAGAAACTCAGTTCCAACTCAGCGTCAGCACAGAAGCAACTAACTTTTCTTTGTGCTCCTCTGAGACTGCAGACCATGCTGTTCACTTGGAGCTGCTTATTAGCATGGGACCTCCAATATAGCTGCTGGAGGGCCCATTACATCACCTGAATGAGTGTTTTGGGCATCTGGTTCTGGTATTCATAGCTGCTTAGAGGCAGTAATGATGGTTATGCAAGGTTTATTTTTTGCTTCTTGCATATTTCATCACAAGTTCCAAAGAAAGCTCCAAACTTGGGATTGTAAATGTTCGTTCTCTTTGTAGTCTGCGAGTCAGCATGCCTAACAAACAGCAGCTCTTTTTCTTTGAATTCCCTCTGTGCATTTTTTCTTTGATACACTCTGCTCTGCATATTTTATTCACAATGCTGACTCTCCTGTGCAAACTGAAACTCCCAGATTTGGTTCTGTGTTTTTGCTCCACAGCGGTTTGATGAAAAATAAGGCTGTGTATCACATCATTACCCACACTGTACACCTGACTGTGGGAAGCTGCTCTTGCCTCAGATTGTTTTTTTTATGGTCCAGCTGGTGGTTGCCACTTACTCCACTCCTCCATCCCTCCCCAGAGTACCACTCTGATCCTGTGGGTGCCTCTGATCGTGACTTGTGTCATCCAGATGGTGTTTTCCGCCCGGTGCTTTGCTGTCTGTGCTTCATTCCTGGGTCTACCTTGCTGTCCAAACAGGAAGAGAAAAAGAGACTATGGCAGAGCGGTGAGATTTCCACTCAAACCCAAACTATTAGCTACAGTTCACAAAAACTCACTCAATCACAAAAATTTGGATTAAAAATGAATTAATCTTTGTGCAGATCAATGTGGTGAGGCCGATGGAGGAAGCTGCTCCCTCTCACTACACTGAACCTCCAACACGCTACACGGAACCACCAAGAAGCCACCGCGAACCTCCAAGACGGAATGCTGAACCTCCAAGACAGCAGCATAGACCCCCTCCCCCTTCACAGCCTCCTCCCCGTCAGCATCGGAGTCTTCCTCCCTCGGAGAGGCGGCCTCTTCGCCAGCCGCACAGAGAAAGGTCAAACAGAGAAAGGCAAGAAACGAGGGTTGGCAGCCAGCAAAGGGCACCGGAGGAGCACCAACTGCTGGAGAGGGGTACGCTGGAAAGGTCCAGCTTCTGGATTTAGACATATTTGACATGACAGAGCTTCTTGATGACAAAATGCTCTGCAGTGCTTCAATACTTGGATTCAGACTTCATACTTGCAACCCTATCGTCCAGTTAGTACTTCATGAACTCTGAGCCGGTGATGGGTTTTTTCAGCAGTGCTGATGTATGGATTTTCTGAGGCTCAGACTGTTTGCACAGTGTACAGGATCCCAGTTATGTGAGTGTGTCTGTTCTTGTATTTCTGTTCTGATGAGGGTCAAATTATTCATATCAGGATAGACTTATGAGGTAAATCTTTCAAAGTGAGGACATGGTCTCAAATGATGCGTATAGGAGGGATTATTCAGAGTAGGGTTGCAGTGTTATACCGGTCTCAAGGTATACCGTGATATAAAAGTTGACAGTTCATGACTGTATCATCATTTGCCTATTGACGATACTGAAAATAATACAACTGGACAGATAATACTTCCATTAACAAAACGGTTTAAATGTAAATATAATACCGTTGCAACCCTAATTCAGAGTAAAAAAAAAAAAAAAAAAGGCATTTTGAGAAATTCACTTTGTCACTTTCTTGCTGAGAGTTAGACGAGGAGATTGATACCATTCTCAGTTTGTGCGTTAAGCACGGAACTGGAGTTAGGCCATGGTTAACTTAGCTTAGCATAAAGACTGGAATCAGGGGGAAACAGCTAGCTAGCTCTCTCTAAACAACTTTAAAGTTCGCTATTAACATGTGATATCTTTATTTTTTGCGCATAGAAAGGTGTTTATACGTCATGTTTTGTTTTTGAGTTGGGAGTTGATAAGCTCAGGTTAGTATGAAACTGGAGGAGACACAGCTATCCTGGCTCTGGTCACCATGAGAACGGAAACAGAGGGCTCGGCAGGGACGGAGCACCTGCTGCAGCAAGCGAACACGCCGTCTGTGGTCATTTTGACTTGACTGGCAAACTTCACTCCAAGCAAATTGGCTGTAGAAATTGAAATTGAATGTATAATTAACATTCAGGCTTTTGTATGTTTTCTTTGCTCATAGGTGTGTTCTTTAACTTGACCTAGCTTGATTTATTCCCTGCTGTCAGTCTCGATGCTAAGCTAAGCTAATCATCTCCTGGCACGAGAGCAGAATCAATCTTCTCGTCTAAAATGTGTGTTCTCTTAATGTATGAGTTTACACACATAATGGAGGCAGTAGGGCCAGTGAAATGCTCTCACAAGTGGTGACGTACAGTGTGAAATGTGTGTGTGTGTGGGTGTGTCTCCAAGCTTTTGTGTTTTTATTGCCTGATTGAATAATTGAGAAACAATTGAGCGTGTGTGTGTGTGTGTGTGTGTGTGTGTGTGTGTGTGTGTATTCTGCTGTTAGGTCAAGACACACTCGTTTCAAGACAAACTGCTAGTTTTTGTATTTATTAACTTTAGTCAACAAGCAAATAAAGTTTTTATTCAAAATTCTGCATCTTTCTTGTGTGTTTTGTAGCTGAACTCTGTGACCGAAAACACCTCAGTTTAAAATGCGGTAACGGCAACAGCTGTAGTGGCCTGACAGGAATGACTGGTTACACTCAGACACACATGTAGACATCCTGACAGGCCGGTGCAAACACTGTCACCCACGTCCTGTCAGGACTATGTTAATAAGGACTTCCAGTGTACCTGACAGGCTGCAACACTCAGGTGCATGACAGCAGTGTTCAGCTGTCAGACCAGACGTTAGCCTTGTGCGCTTGGCTCCTTAATGCGTTCCTTACAAATAACCAGAAATGAGGAAACAGTCCACACGTGCAGCTTTGAAACACATAGATATATTTCGATTTCAGGTCCAACGGAACAAACATGTCATCCTCGTGAGGTTTTCATGCAACAGAAAAACAGGAAGGAAAGGGAGGTGAGGAAGGGAGAAAGAAAGAAAGAAAGAAAGAAAGGGGTGTATTTATCCAACACAAGGTACCAGTTCATCAGAGGCAGTGAGAATAGAAAAGGGTTAAAGTGTAGATCAGGGGTTAGCAACTGTTGTTCCTTATCCTACCAGCAGAAGGCAGTGACACTATAGGATCCCCGAAAGCAGAGGTGCAGCTGGTTAGGAAGCTCCTGTGCAAATGTTTGGTACAAGTTAGGTCAGTAATGTCGTGTGGATGCAGCTGCACCAGCACGGCTCTCATTGGTAGTTCATTTTGCCACCACTGCACACAATAGTTCAATTTGTGAGGTAGTGAGATGTTGGGCAACAGACATACTGGGCTGATATTGGCCATTTTTGAAATATCTGATGTTGAGTCTGGTGTGACAGAGGCTCTTCTCTGACTTGCTATAGAAACGTGTCCCACTCAGTTATTTTTATCTCATGTGGCAGACAGAGAAATCATTTTGTGCCAGGGTTTTATTCCTCACTTTCTACAGTGTGTAAAGGGAAGCCTGTCTAACCCTCCTTTATGGAGCTGCTAACCAGCCTGAAATAACTGCATTAGTCTGGATTTCAATGACGCGTTTCAGTGTCATCTCAAAAGGATCTTCTAACATACGAATACAATTACTGAACAAACACTGAACCTCATGATTAAAGCTAATTTAAACCCATTTATATAATTTGGGGCAGTTTAATCTATAACAATACAACTTACTTCATAAACTGATATACTTTGAGTGTAAAATCGTAACTAGTAACTACAGTTGTCAGGTAAATGTAGTGCAGTAAAAAGTACAATATTTGCCCCTGAAATGTCGTGGAGGAGTATAAAGTAGCATAAAATGAAAGGGTACAGTAGGGTACCTTAGTACTGTATTTATTCCAGCAATCGAGTAAATGTACTTAGTTACATTCCACCACTTTTAAATACAGAAAACACTTAAACATTAAACTTATCAGCCTATAAAAGTAAAGAACCTGAAGGTCCCCTCCTAAAAGAATGATGTACGGTTATCTGCGACTTCACTGCTTTGTCCCCAGCATGCCCACGGCTTCTTCACAAACAGAATTTGTGTTGTGTTTAACCTCCAAACCAGAAGATGGCAATAGTGATCTGACAATGGGGGCCTTCTATTGTTAATGGGAGTAGTGCTGGTAATCCTGCAACCAGTGGCTGTTTTCACATGTGCACGGATTTTATTTAAAGCATATGTTTTTCAGTTGAGGCTATGTTTTAAAACTTTGATATCACTAAGCTTAAGAGATTTGATGCCGTGTCTGTAATGGCAGGTTCAAACCAAATGCAAAGTGAGTTTTCCACTTGTGTTACAAACACGGAATCTTTTTACTTGGTTCGTAGTAACGTACTACCGAAATCAATGAAACCTACCAAAGTTTTCTACATCAGGACAATATACCAGTCATCTGGAGTTTGGTGGAAAGGCTGGCGCCATGATTCCCGGTATTCAGACACCAACATTATCATCTACTCCGTCTAGTTTGCTTTCTGCTTCTGCGATGCCCACTCCTTGATCAGCCAAAGCCTAGTGGCAACTACTAGAAGGTCAACACGGTGGTCTCTGCGTGGCAGAGCAAAATCTGTGCATGTGGCAGCAACTGCTTAACACCCCTACCATCGTGCTCAAAACCACTCACCCTCAGCTACCTTCCCCGAACTGAAATAATTGGAGGCGGTAAGTTACTGCGTGGCTGTGTGAAATCACCATTAAAGTCCATTCTCACTGAGGGCGAATATCCACGCGGATTATTCTTGCGGAAAAATATAAAAGTTGATTTCATGGGTTCTTATGGAAGTTTGCACACCGGGGCGGAACTTTCATGCAGTGAAAAAAGTTTCCGCCCAGACTTTGACCCCTGCAGAATTCGCCGGCAGAACTACGCAGCTGGGCCAATGAAATTGTTTGTTTATAGTGACGTCACGCAGACCCGGGAGAGTCCGAAATCCAGCCAGGCAGGACAATATGAGAGAATGGTTGATAAAACTCGTTTCACAGCACCCCGTCCTTTTTGATAAAAGACTGGATGATTTTATGAACAATGAATTAAAGGACAACGTCTGGCAGTCCATTGTCCAGCTTGGTGGCTGTGGTGAGAGTGGTAAGTGCTAAAGAAAGTTGATGTTGACGCTTGTTAAACGTTAGCTTGCTAGCTCGCTGCTGCTGCTACTCTCGTCCATGTTCACCCACACCCGTTCACACTGCGCGGACTTGGAACACAACAACGCGAAATTCCGCAGCACGTCTGTGTGTATGGTTTAAAGGCAGAATATTACACAAATCCATCCCGCATTTCCGCATCGCAGCAGTGAGAATGAACCTTTAGGCTCCATCATGGCTTGATAGGCTCCCTGAATGTTACAGTTGCTCGTAGTATATCTGGACAATCTTTCGCACTTCAGCCACTAGCATTTGTTCTCTTGCTACTAGAGCTTAGATCGGGCCCAAAAAAATCCAGCCCGACCCCACCTGAGACCGTGCATGTTCTGTCCGAGCCCGGCCCGCCCCTTTAACTAATTACGAGCCCGAGCCTGGTTTAAACCCGACATGTTTTTTAAGGATACAAACATGGACATTGAAGGCTGACTCTCGTCTTTCTTTCCATGGCAAGCCTTCGTCATGTGCCTCTTAAGGGTCGAGGTCCCCGTCTTTTTGCTGTCATATACCAGCATCGTGCTGCACGTACACTCGACGAAGCCGACGCACACGTTGTCACCGTCAACAACTCATGTACGCGGCCAGGTGTGATAAGTGGTTGGTTCCATAGCCTAGGTCTATTATGAGGAGCCCGACCCCTCCAAGCCCGAGGATAGTGGCGGGCAGAGAATCTAAGCTCTACTTGCTACATATTAGGAAGAGATGTCACGCAAATTTCTGGTGCTAATTGATAATCTTCAACTAGCGCAAACATGCTAATGGTGCAAATTACATTCACATCATTTATGTCGCCCGGCACGAATTTGCATCTGTTCACGTCTTTGTATTAACTTTGTATGCATGAAAATCTCGTTCCACGTTTGGTGTGAACACTCTGTAAATGTCCTGCTTTCTTGGTGCTCTAAATATTTGGTAAATTAAAATATAATTCATGAAGGACTTTTATCGGTGCTCATGTAAACACAGCCACTGTTGTCTGTCACATTACGACATATATCTGGAAACCCTGAAAACTCTACCCAGAACAAGCGTGTGCACTTGCTCCTATCTCAGGAAACATGTCCCTTCATCTAACTGCTCTGTAAGCAGACTAATCCAGGAGGTTATAAAAGCATTCAGCTAGAGAGTGATGAACGAGCCCTTAGTGAGTTCTCTGTCTGTCAGAGGAAAAGAGGGAGAGGGAGGGGAGGGTGGCGAGGGGGCGGGAGGGTTTGTCCCAAAGCAAGACAAATACTCAATCATTTCTGCCTGGTACAGTGCTGAGGAGGCTGCAGAGCTACAAAAAGATACTGCTGTGCGTTAACTGCTTTTTTTTTTTTTTTTATGTGGATTTTTGTCAGTTCATAGGATCATGCAGTATAGTGACAGGTTACGACTATCTTAAGTTTACTGCTCGTTGTTAAAGAACTTTAAAATACTTACAAATTAAGAAACAACACAACATGATAATACTGTAAAAGTTAGCCTCGAGCACACAGTGCATATTCACATGCACACACACTCATTCACACCAAATGCACAGCCATACTTTATAAACTCATGGCAGCTCAAACGATATGTGCTACTGGTGTCATTGATCAAACGCAATACAAGATCCTCTTACGTCACTAGAGTCTCACAATCTTCCACTCAGACAAATCCTGAAGAGATCAATCTAAAGTCACGTTTTCTCTCTCTCTCTGTCACTGTAAACTGGAATACGGTCATCTTTAACAACATATCAAAGTAAAAGCACGATAATAAGAATAAAAATGAATAAATAAAACATGAAGGAGGAAAACAATATGTACAAAAAAAACATTTAAAAATCAACATGCCAGTAGATATCAATAAAAAGCTAATGGGATCTTAGGCCTTCTTTTTCTCAGCGAAAGATCATATAGCAGTAAAATCCCAATAACCCCCCACTCCCACCCACCTCCACCCCGACCACCCGTCCAGATCACACCAGGAAGCTACGCTACATAATACTGCCTCTCAATGCCAGAGTGTGCACCATACATGAAGACAAACTTCATCTTATGATATACATAGACGTACAGTATATACATGATATACATATGTGTTGGAGGACAAACTGAGCCATCCCCGCCCTGCAAGAATCCACACCTTCTCCTGGAAATCCGTCGTTCCAGAGAGAGAGAGATATTCGGGAACATTAGCGGAAGCCACTGTCGACCCATCATTAAATGTATGCATGTCCCTTCATCAAATATGAAAATGACAGTAAAATAATAGTGATGACTTTTCTTATCCTCCTTAAAATCCCTCCTCCATCCTTGCACACAACAACGAACGAAAAAAAAGAAAAAATAAGAGAGATGATATGAGAGACGAGAACCATCATGCATTGATTTGAGTGACTGTTTCAA